GCGGGCCCCCGGGCCCGCCCCCCCACCAGCAAAACCCCCCCGGGGGCCCCCCCCCCCCCCCAGCTTACACACCCCCAGCATGTCAGACACACACCAGCATGTTACACCCCCACGTTACATACACACAAACATACACACACACAGAGCATGTCACACCAGTATGTTACACTCCCCATGGGACACACACATACACACACCCCAGCATGTCACACACACACAAACATACACACACAGCATGTTACACACACACGTACAAACACACCCCAGCATGTCACACGCACTCACGCACACGCATGCACCCCAGCATGTCACACACAGACCCCCCATGTTTCCCCCCCCCCCCCCCGGATGTCTCAGTGGCAAGCAGGGCTGCAGTCCCAACAGCCAGTGGAGCCGGCCTTGCTGCCCTCCCCCCAGCGGCTCTGATGTTGAAGTCTTGCCCCGGGGAGGCTGCTCCTGTCTGAGGATGCTGCTGATTTAGTTGCAGCACCCACTAGTGCCAACCGCTGTAAAAGCCTATTTTCAAAGGGACTTTGATACCAGCCCCGTGTGGGGGGCAAAGGAAGGAGAAAATCCCTGGGGCAAGTCTTCCAGACTAAGGGGAATCTGCAAACTTGTTTTGTGCCAGTCTTCAACTCAAGGGGATTGCGGCTAGTGCCCACAGCCTGCACCCTCACTTTGCCCTGCAGTCATATAGGAGGGGGCTGGAATGGACCGCCCGAGGCCGTCTACTTCAACCCATCAGCTCATAGTCATAGAGCTCCCAGCTTGGGAGCTGCTGTTTGCCTGCCTTGTTTTGGTTTGAAAAACATGAAGGGATTTTTTAAACAAGGATTTTCTTCTCCTCTCTTTGGAAACACACTTATTTCAGTTTACCTAAGTCCGCAGTGTGCAAATGACCTCACCGCCCCAGGAGCCAGGACTGAGCTGAAATTGTTGAGCTCCCAGAATTTAGGGCTGGATTTCAAAGGAATACTTTTTCTTTTCTTTTTTTTCTTCCTTTTTTTTTAAAAGCAGCTATGGAAATGGTATTCCCTTATAAACTCAGGGAATACCATTTTCCAGGCTAGTGGCTGAAAGCTCCATTACAAAGTGCCAGGAAAATACAATTTTTTCCATCAGAATCCATTATAGTTCTCTCTCTCTCTCTCTCTCTCTCTCTCTTCATAACAAAGAGCTTTGCTGCAGTTACAAATGGGCTGTTATGGCTTATGCAGTGCTGGCTATCAACAGGCCTTGGCTTGGCCTGAGGAAATTTACTAAACTGATATTGAACTTGTGGTGGCCACTTGACTTCTGTTATTGTTCCAGCTAGTCCTAACAACTGACTTGTCCCCTGCCTTGAAGAAGGATTAACTCCAAAACTGGGAAAGGTGTATGTGTGTGTGTGGGGGTGTAGCTTGATTTTAATTTTGGAGAGAAAGGGGCTTGATGTAAGTGGCACATCTGTGCAGCCGATTGGCAAGGCCAAATGGGAATCCATTGTGTCATGCTTGTGTACCAGCCTTCCCAGACTATGCAGGGTTTCCATTATTTCTTCGCTCCCAGCTGTTTGTTCTAAGTTGTGCGGCTGAATCACCAGGGTATGTAAAAGGCCTTGGCATCAGCTTAAAACCACCATCTGGAACAGCAGGATCATTAAGGTAATTCTTTTCAAAGAGTTTTGAGAGGGCAGGGGGTGGGGAAATGGCAGGAGAATGGGACATCTCCTCCAAAATGGCTAATAGATGTTCCTCTTTCCTGTCTTCTGTAGCCAGCACTGTAATGTAAAGTGCCTGAATGCACACGAAGATACCCAAATCAGTGGCCTGGTTTTAAAGCTCTTAAATAGCTAGGGCTCCCAAGGGGACTTCAGTGAAGGGGCTCAGCACAAATGAAAATCAGGCCACTTAATTAGGTGCCTAAATCAGGAGCTGGTGCCTAACTTAGGCACCAAGGTTGAAAATGTTGGGCTTTTTCTGGTGACTGGTTTTCTAGGCATTGCCACTTTTTGCTCAGCCCAGTAACCCGTGAAACATTTTCCTTGAAGGCAGGAATTCTCTTTCTATCCAATTATTATATTCGGGTTTGGTTTGCTCTGATTTAGACAAGGTTCCCAAGCCAATATTTGTATTTTGTGACCCTTTTCTTCTAAATTACAGCTCCTGGCACAGGAAAATTGAAACGCCTCTCCCTGGACTATGCTGTCTCAGGCACTCCTTATGACACTGCTGCTGATCCTAACCCTGGCAGCATCCTACAAAGTCAACATCAGCCCTTCAGTTGATTAGTTTTGCAGCACTTCTGACGGGTTCCCGTTCCCTTCCTATATGAACCAGTAATAACTATTAACTATAAATTGTTATTAGCAGGATATTTCTTCTCCATCTGGCTTCCTAACAATGGTATGGGGGGAGGAGAAAGACTGTTCAAAAATATCCGCTAAACTTACTATCGAATCGCGTTCATTTTTGTTGCTGCACATCTGGTTCTTTCAGTATTGATTCTCTTGTTTACAGCAATTTGCAGACGGTTTGATATGCCAGTTCCGCAAATATTAGTGTCTCCAATTAAATGTTTAGATTGGCACTTTCCCTCTGAAGAACTGCAAAGAAATGTAAAACTCGGGCGATGGGATATGTTAAGATGGGAGCATACGCGTCCTGTCTTGTTAGTCGTCTGCTTTAAAGCTATGCCATTAAATTAAGGAAATCCAAGGCGTTTAAGGGGCAACCTGCTTTGTTTCTATAAAGCTGTGAATTGTGAATGTTTGCTTTAAAGAAGTACTTTGAGGCCGATCCTTAGCTAGTGTAAAGTGCCATAACTCAGTTGACTGCAATGGAGCCAGGACACCGGCCGGGGATCACCCCGGGATGAAAGTTTAGACTTTCAGGAACAGTCCTGCAATAGTGAATTTGAACTCACTGGGACTCCATACAATGGAAGCGTCCAAAGAATAATTGTGCGGATCCATGAGGCTTTATTTAGTAAGTTTTTCCATCGGGAGCGATGCAATAGTCTCTTCACGGAGAAAATATAAAATAGCATATTTTCTCTGATTGTCGCCATTTGGCAGTGGTACACCTTCATTTGCAGAGCTCTCCTATGTATTTACTGGATTAGGTCATACTTTCTGGTTGGCCTAATTTCTGAGCCCCTTGCAAAATATATCAACATTGAAATGAATTATTGCAGGCGGCTTGTGACATTTTAGCCCAGGCATCAGAAACACTAGGCTCATACGCAAGAAACCACAGAAATAAAGTGGGATCTCTCCTTTAAAAAAAGCCACCATTTACATATTTTAGTTGGATATGGAAGATCGGTTTTTTTTTAACATGGTCCATTAATTATCTTAGCATCGTCTGCAAACGATATTGGAAGGATCAGGAAGCAAAAGGCGTGAAGTCAATATAAACCCACTTATTTTAGGTACCTACATGTGGACTTACTAAAATATCAAAT